AATGATGTAAAAAAACAAGCTCATATTCAATGCTTTCTTTGAAATAACTTTATACCGAAAACTTTATAAAATATATGTGTTTTCAGTAAGTGAAAATAAGTATCGTTATAAAAAATTTTCAATAATTCACTCCTTAAGCAAGTAATTGAACAATCCATACCAAACGTGATTATTTTATATTTAGTAAAAAGTATATTCAATGGGGAACATGTTCTTATTTGTGACATTATTATAATAATTGGAGAGAATTTTAACGTCTGTTATATGTACTTTACGGTCACTGCTTACCTGGAATTTTTTGGCTAGAATTCAACAAGGTAGATACTTTAGTCGTCCAAATTTCGCTTCTACCCTTCTGGTTGAACGAGTACACAGAGATTAAGAATAGCGTTCCAGGAGAGAGACCATGAGCACTGAAGATGGGGTGAGAGGCCGTGAAATTCGCCACTAATTCTTTCAAGGCAACATTGTAGACTTCAAATATAAACCGCTGATTAAGGCCTCCACTGTACCCTTCCAGGCATACGACTTCTAAAGCTACAGAAGTCCTATTGTTAATGGTACAGCTAAGAGGCTTTTGTGGAGTACCTAGAAGAAGTCAATAGACTTCAATGTGTATGCCTCTGAATTGTTATCTGTGAATTTTTTACTATTTTAGAAACAGTCATTGTATACTCAAAAAGTTAGTAAATACATATGCATTAGTATGATATGTGGGTCCACCTATTGACAAATCAACCTGAATGAATAGACAGACGAATAGATGAGTAGATTTAATATTGTACAACAAATTGTTAAATAATAACTAATTGGTATTGATATAACTAACAGTAAACTAGGCATCTCTAAAAATGCTACCACAAGAATTCCCATTAAAGGAAGCTAAGATTTTTATATTACTAGAACTATAGAAATTTAGCAACACAACATTCTTAAGGGAATTGGTTTACCGAGGTTACATTACTGACCTAAAGACCAGTATCACAAACTAAATACTCGTACTAGTATTTATTGACACGCGAAATTAATTAATATCAGACATTTTGATTGTACATATATAACTACAACGTCTCATATTATTCTACATAACTACAATATTAAAAAAAATATATGTACTATACTCCTGCACATGAGTATCATCTTTTATAAAAATGAAGTAAAGTGTTAGATATTATTGTAAAAAAATCATTATTGTTTTTATAAAAATGAAGTAAAGTGTTAGATATTATTGTAAAAAAATCATTATCGTTTTTATAAAAATGAAGTAAAGTGTAAGGTATTGTTGTAAAAGATCATTGTTCTTATAAAAATGAAGTAAAGTGTAAGATATTGTTGTAAAATATCATTGTTTTTATAAAAATGAAGTAAAGTGTAAGGTATTGTTGTAAAATATCATTGTTCTTATAAAAATGAAGTAAAGTGTAAGATATTGTTGTAAAAGATCATTGTTTTTATAAAAATGAAGTAAAGTGTAAGGTATTGTTGTAAAAGATCATTGTTCTTATAAAAATGAAGTAAAGTGTAAGGTATTGTTGTAAAATATCATTGTTTTTATAAAAATAAAGTAAAGTGTAAGGTATTGTTGTAAAAGATCATTGTTTTTATAAAAATGAAGTAAACTGTAAGGTATTGTTGTAAAAGATAATTGTTCTTATAAAAATGAATTAAAGTGTAAGGTATTGTTGTAAAAGATAATTGTTCTTATAAAAATGAAGTAAAGTGTAAGGTATTGTTGTAAAAGATAATTGTTCTTATAAAAATGAAGTAAAGTGTAAGGTATTGTTGTAAAAGATAATTGTTCTTATAAAAATGAAGTAAAGTGTAAGGTATTGTTGTGAAAGATCATTGTTCTTATAAAAATAAAGTAAAGTGTAAGGTATTGTTGTAAAAGATCATCAAGTAATATGGTTACTTTTTTTTATCAAAACACAAACCATTTCATTTAGCCAGTATTTTTTAAACAGAAAGTGGTAGTGAACGTTAATTACAGGCCTAGTTGCAGTTTTCGTTCAGAATACAAAGAACGAAACCTGTGACCATCATTATAATTTCTAACTTAAACGTTCTTTGTTCTGAAACCGTATAGTTAGCTGACGTAACGAAAGAAACAGTCACGTTCCTGCTTAGATCGTCAAAGCCTTCAGTAAACAAAGTATAATAGGAAAACTGTGCCAGCTGATTTATGAAAGTTATCTTCTAGTGACAAAAATACGAATTAAGAAGAAAGTGTCTCAATACGATAGTATCCCCTTACGGTACAAACTTCACGATACAATAGACGTACTATGAAAAACAAAATGTAACAATGGACCTTTCAGCACAAAGCTAGAGTCAACATCAGGCAACAGTATTAAACTGACTTGGACAATACAGTCTCCATCACTTCTAGTGATCTAATATAGCAACACGTATAATAAACGTTTCGTTAATGAATAGACTCTATCGTAAAACGTAAAAAGTTTTATAATATTTTATTGTTAAGCAAATGGTTCCACGGTGGAACAGCGGTAAGTCTATGGACTTGGAATGCTAAATCCGAGGTTCGATTCCCTAAAGCAGATAGCCCAATATGGCTTTACCCTTAGAAAATAAATAAAGAAGAACAAAGTAAATGTGTTTTACATACTTGGCCTGTAGGAAAACTTGTTATTAAAAGCATTAACTGTAAATATCTGTGATATCCTCTCCTAGTTGAAGTAACTGATCCACAAGTATTTGTGTTGCATAAATACGTCAGCCTAGAAAAAATGTTTCAAAAAGACACACCTGAGTTTCATGTATTTCTATCATTATGTCTGTCTCGAAACGATAGCTAGCCTGACAAAATTATTTAATTTAAATAACCGAATAACGCAAGAAGCGTTTCTATTAGAAAGCCTGCTCGTTGTTTTGGTGCAGAGCCGATGAAGAGTGACCGCCTCATCAAACTCGGCGTCCATTAAAGAATCTCCTATTTTTGATAATGGCATTACGAGACTTTCCTTCGTGAAGGCGTTTATTGCGTGACCTTTCGGGAATGGTAAACAATATTTAAGCAAGACAACGCGTTCTGTTAATAATCGTTAGTTGTGCCATAAACCTATGATTTACGTTGATGCTATTTTCCCAACACATTTAGTTTCAACGCTTGCTTGAGTTACCATCATTTATCATTGTATATATGGATTCATAAAATATATTATTCGCGAAACATCTCAAACGTGTATGACCTTTAACCGGAACACAAGCTTATTTTATACGAAACGTTCATTAGAAACGTAAAATTGGGCGTGAAATATTTGGTCATGTGACTTAATATATGGGATAGGTACCTCACAGGTTGCTCTTCGTGAATCCATAAACATTATAGCTGTGTTATGTCTTTAGTGTATGAAATATATTATCAAACTATATGCTGTTCTAGAGTAACATAAAATTATGGGTGTAACACAGTAACGTTTTAAAAACATATTCGCCCAACAGCTTCTTCGATACATATGAATATGGCTACTCTTATATAGATATAGTTATATCATATACTTACTTCTCTTCTATAATTATCATTAACATATTAAAATAGTAAGTTTGTACGTAAATATTTGTTTCCAAAACACGTGTATTTCAAATATTTAACAAATCAGTCCATACTGCTTGAAACTACCAATTATTATCAACTTTACTTTTTAAAAAGATAACATTGAGAAAATTTCATAGTAAACAATTATGTAGTAGCTAAAGTGTTTGTGTAACGTGACCAAACGACAATTGTTTTATTTGTCATAGTCTCGTCACAGACTAAACCGAGTTACCACTTAAGTAATGACTCGTCTTTTACATCACTGTCACTTAGATGTGATGCCTGGGCATCATTTACACGCTGTGCCACGTTTGTTTAATTCTCTTAGTACTCATACCAAGCCGTAGTGCTGAAAGAAATGGCGAGACGGGAATAAATCAATTTATGGATTTAGTGCATTAGTTTCTAGGTAGAGGTCGCTGCACTGTTTTAGTAAATATTACAAAACTAAGAAACTGTGCACATCTAATTAAAGTTACAAATCTAAGTGACAATGCACATCTAATTAACATTATAAATCCAAGTGACAGTGCACATCTAATTAACATTACAAATCTAAGTGACAGTGGACATCTAATTAACATTATAAATCCAAGTGACAGTGCACATCTAATTAACATTACAAATCTAAGTGACAGTGCACATCTAATTAACATTACAAATCTAAGTGACAGTGGACATCTAATTAACATTACAAATCTAAGTGACAGTGGACATCTAATTAACATTACAAATCTAAGTGACAGTGGACATCTAATTAAAATTACAAATCTAAGTGACAGTGGACATCTAATTAAAATTACAAATCTAAGTGACAGTGCGCATCTAATTAACATTAGCAATCTAGGTGACAGTGCACATCTAATTAACATTAGAAATCCAAGTGACAGTGCACATCTAATTAACATTAGAATATCTTGTTTTATTAATCCTATTTCTATTTAATGCATTTCTCTTTCTAATATAACGCACCGAGAGTTTTATTACGACACTTCTACGACAATCAGGTCAATTTAACATATCATGTCACGTGTTTTTAACAACATGCCTATCTGTACATGCACGCTATAACACGATGTGTATGTGTTCAAAAAAAGTCACCAAACTCAATCAAGGCATTTCCACAACAAAGTACTTTGAATTATACGAATGAGATGAAATTGTTGACAAAATAAGGGTTAAGACTTCATAGTTTACAGTAACTTTGTCATAACTCACCTGTGGGAATACAGGTATAACCCCCTGTATGCAGTAACTTTGTCATATCTCACCTGTGGGGATACTGTTATAACCCCCTGTATGCAGTAACTTTGTCATAACTCACCTGTGGGAATACAGGTATAACCCCCTGTATACAGTAACTTTGTCATATCTCACCTGTGGGGATACTGTTATAACCCCCTGTATGCAGTAACTTTGTCATAACTCACCTGTGGGAATAATGTTATAACCCCCTGTATGCAGTAACTTTGTCATAACTCACCTGTGGGTA